ACTTTTCCAGTGCACACTGTACAGTTCCTCTCTACCGGTTGTACGAAAAGCAATTTAATAATAGATTAGGAAAAAATCCTGGTATCAGATTTTTTTTGTTTTTTTCAAGCATAAATCATATACATTCAGTTGTGTTGACCAAGAACTATTTTTTCTAAATGGATATGTAATGTATGCAATAATTATTAATATTTTTAGATGAAAGATTTCTATTTTTATGAATCTAGTTACAGAAATATTTGGAAAAATTTGAAAAAAAGACTTTAAATCCGATTAGGAATTTCGATAAGAGTCAATTATTATAAACGTGATAATATAAAAATGTTTTCAATGATAACAAAATTGTACTCATTAAGTAATACAAATGGATTGTTAGGTGATACAAATAATGAATTAATTGGAAAAAAACTCAAACTTCTGAATGTAAATAAGAGTAATTGTACTTTATATCGTGAAATGATTTTACTCAGGCAACTTTTTGAAATCAAATATCCTGGTACTTCCGAGGGTGGGAGAGTTCGCTCTCCCTCTTCAAATGCTCTCACATGGTCACGTGCATACAACCACTGCCATGGAAGTCCTACTCACTGCTTTATCGTGGCATTACTGTTGTTTACGAAGTTGAGAGGACGAAAAGCGAATATCCGGTGCTATGACCAGTTGGTGAACACGGAGGGTTTAATTAGGGGAGTTGGAAAACCCTCATTCCAAACCAATGGTGCATATGGGCTCCATGATCCTAAAGAAACAAATGGTGTATGAACCAATTATTGGTCACCGGATACCATGGGACTGCATCTCCTAACGTCACCATACTGCCTTGTAGATCAGACCTTTAGGTCCAGTGCTCGGGGAGTGGTCCCTTAAGAAAATTACCAGCTTCGGTTTGGGCACCCGGGCAGTATCACAGCCCTCACACATATCAAATGAGATTTGTGTGGCGCATGTGTATTCGGTGCCTCTTTGTACCAATATTTATGTGTTCAAATAAATAAATAAGGACATACTATCTTACTAGGGATAAAACTCAAGAACCTCAAGCTTCACAGTGGACTGATTGCTTTTAGATGACTGGTTTTTTCATAGGAAATGAACAATTATTCTATATTATTTCAAATATACAAGCATAAAACATCATTACTCATGTTAGATACCTGTATTTCATACTATTCAATCGTTGTTATTAAGAGGCGTTTGTTTTATAAATAAGCAAATCACTTTTTTGCACATCCAGTAGATATAATAATTGATTGTTATTTTAGTTAACAAAAAACCTCAGGATGAAATCAAAGTGCACTTCATCAATTCTCTTATTTAAAAAAGATTACTAAATATTACTTATAGTGACAAATATGCTCGACGTTGAGTTATTCAATATTTTTATTCACTGTTTTAATTATCGATCAACTATTGAAAAAATTAGGCAACTAACAATTATCTGTTTTAGCTCGAGATGAATGGAAACGTCGTTATTATTCAGCTAAAAAACAGGCACCAAATCTTGAATCAAGAATGAATGGACACAGAGGTGATTTAGAATCACTGATCAGAAGGACTATTTCAACCTTAAAACACAGTGGAACAGATTCTGTAGAGGTAAGAGAAAATTTTGAACTTTAAATAGAATTCATTTAAACAGCATACACTGAGATGCTTTAACGTTAAAAAAAGAGAAAACGCTTTTCGATTAGTGTAATAAGAATGATATATAGTTTACTGTGTGGTCATAATGCTTTCAGAAGAAAATTTAACTTGTGGCTAAACTTATTTGAACAAACCAGAATCATTTACAATCCTTAACTTATAATCTGTGTTTTTAAATTGGAAACATCTCATATAATTGTAATAAAAGACCTAAAAGCAATTATAATGAAGTGTGGAGGGTCCAACATATGTTGAAGCTTATCTTCAGAACATAGAAAGGAATTTCATCACTGTTAATTAGAATTATGACGGTTGAATTACACAGGTCATCACAGTATCAATCTGGCTAATAATAACAATATATTCTGTCAAGAGTTAGTTATATACGACCAATAACATGAGACAAGTGTATAAAGATCAAAGATTCCGCACCTCAAATCTTAGGAAATTACGACGATGAAAAGATATAGAGAGAAACATTACAATTGTAGTGGAATACTAAACATAGAAGTGAAGTTTAAAAGGAATGAAAGATATGAAACAAAATCGCCAAGGTGTACAATAAACTAAGTACATAAATCAGTGCAACTGCGATTGTCACCTTGAGCGTCTAAAGAAAGTATATAGTTGCCCTGTATTCTACACTTTGAAATTTACACCTTCCAGTAAAGTTCAAACTAAAAACTAATGACTTCATAGACAAATATGATATATCCATCTGATCATCTATGATCTTTCACAAATTCTTAACCAGCTGAAAGACAGCGTGAAATGCGTTAAAAGTGTCGATTATACAATAAGTTTCTCATGTTGAGTTGTTTTCATAAATTTAGATCCAGCATCTCGCAGAGCAGATGGAGAAACGTCGAGTGGTAACAAGAGACGAATACAAACTAGCTGAAATTATGCTCAGTTTAACCAAGGCAATTCGAGTAAGTGTATAACATTGATGAAGGCAATTGAGAATAACATAATTACTAAGCTGAACTTAAGATAACCGAAGAAATAAGTGCTATTAAGGATAACAATACACCTTATTAGATCGATTTATGTATTAATTATTTACTAAAGTCACTGTATCTCCGTCCTTATGACAGATCGATTCGGAATAAGTGTAATAAGTTATATCTATCTTGCATCATTAATTGGTAGAAACATCACTGGAGAATATTAACCAAGCACACTAAACAAAGATGAGACAAATATGTGGTTGCTGACTGATTTTAGTGGTTTTCCAAAAGTTTGGGGCTGAAAATTATTTCTATGTGAAATCACTAAGCAAGATAATGTTTAAAGACTGTGTTTAATGTTTAAGGAATTGCTCAGAAGCAAACTTCAGGCTCTCAGATATTTAAGCTAATTTTTCTATTATCAGGGTAGGTTCAAGTTAATAGTTGTATGAATCGGATAAAATGCTTTTTAATAAGAATTAAATATGAATTGGTTCTATTTTTACTTCTGTCCCATTTAAAAGCTTCGATCACAGGCTGAAACAGAAGGTAGGCTTCTTAACGCTGAATTGGACCGTAGAAGAGGTGAGCTTAGTTTAGTCAAGTCTACATCACCAAGCCGAAGAGCATATGCATGCTCATTATCACCCAGACGGAGAACAATACGTGAATCACGAGATGTTGCAAGCTTAAAATCTAATGGACGACGTACTGTAACTTCATATGAACGGCAACGTAGACATGTTAATTATAAGAGTTTATCTCCGAATCGATTGTCAAATGATCAAACATCACAAGAATCAAGTAGCCAGGATGACATGAAAGTTCCATATAGAACGAGAATACAGAGTCCGAAAAAACAAATTCAAGTTCACGGATCAGATGTACGGATCAAAACTCCAGACTTCGAAGTATCTGTGCACTCTGGCAATGAATCGAATTGATAATAAAATAATTACGTCCTAATAAATGTAACACAAATCAAACGAACATAAATAACTTGCGTAATGACATGTGTTGTGAACTATGATTTATTAAAATTAGGTTAACCGTATGTTTGTTTATTTAAACAAAAATAGAATTGTATACTAACTTATATTTTCAATAGTTAACAATAATAAAGCTTAACTTATGATAAGATATTGACTAATAGTTTCTGATTCGATATTGTATTAGAAGACAACTAAAAAGTCAACGATCAATCGAATCACGATTTCCGTCCAATAACATAATGCGGAATGCTACAGTCATCTAAATGAGACATGAATTCTTACGTATTTAATGAAATGCACTACTAACCCAGATATATTCCTGGTTTCAGAATAACGGGATTGTGAATAATGAAGAACTGATAGATTATTTAAATTTATATAACTCTAGATGATAAGTTACGATACAATAAAATACGGAATAGGAAAATTTGTTGAACATAGTGAGACATTTTATAGGAAAATCGACTGATGTTAAAATAAAGGTAGCAAAAGTAAAATTTACTCAATAAACATATTGATTTTACACGACTGAAGCATAAAATTATAGAATTGATCAGTAAACAACTATCACATAAACAACATATCGATACTCGCAATAAGCTGGCTAAATAGGTAAATAAAACGTCTATCTCATAAATTCGTGAATTAGATAAAGTAAGGAAGATTTTTATTTCACGAAGTACGAACATATTTTTCTTGTTTAACTTAACAAAGTAGGTAGTTTTCATAACTGGAAAACCTATCAGTTCTGTGCATTCTCAAACCATCTAAGATCATTGAAATCATGACCCGATATAAACTAGACCACCATTGGAAATCAGGAAGTATTGGACGCCCACTTCGTCATATTATGGGACTGATCGACAATAAGTCAGCAGTCCCGGGATCGAGCCAAGGACCTTCAGGATCGAGTGCGAGCGCTTAACCTCCAGATCACAGAGCCGACAACCAACTGTGTTTATGTCTAACTTCAGTCAATCCACGAAACTGCGTGAACATCTTCTATAACCCCATGCTGACATGTAGGATTAATTTAGTGAAGAAAACTGAGCTAGTTTGTTAAACAGTACTTCTTACATTCAGTAACATTTGTATAACCAAATCTTGAGAATCTCACTTCTGTTTTAATTAAAGATGTATATGATAAAGAAAATTTCCGAAATGTTTATCATTTACTTGATTATATCAACTGGTAGTGCAGTAATGACGAAAAAGCTTAGATGACGGTTAAATGAACACAAAACTAACAATAAACGGTGAAACTAAGTAACTTTTCAATAGATCCCCTCAACTCCACACCTTTAAAACACAACAAATGATAAAAGTTAGTCACAGATGAAAGAAATCTTTATAAATTGATCGCACAAGCGTATATATATATATATATATATATATATATATATATATATATATATATATATATGAAAAACAACTTAAAATCAAGGAGTGAATAATAATATAGCAGGTAGAAATAAATTTGAGGGAAGAGCCAATGAACAATGGTAGAAGCATATAAGTAAATAAACTGATAAATAATTAATTTTCTAATTACCTTGGTTACACAATCTTTGAAAAAGTACAGCAAATTGCGCAACAGTAAAACTAAGAGGAAATAACGATACATTTTAGGAAAAGACTAAAACATAAGTGCGTATAATGTGTAACCAATAAACAAAAAAGTCAATAATAATAATAATAATAATAAAGAAACAGAAAAAAATAGTGTACTTTAAGAGAACTGTACAAGTAGTTGGTGAATAGGTTTAGCAACGTATGTTCATGTAAACAAAGAAAAGCTTTTGATTGAATAGACCCACATACACATATGTAAGGAAGTTTTATGTGTACACTCCCTTGAAAAAAGAATTCCATAAATAAATTGATCAATTTATGAAAAGATATGATAGAGAAAAGAAAGGAAGACACGATCACAAATCATAGTAATTGTCATAAACGAAAAGAAATACAATACTGATACCATGGATACCGTTAAAAATGTAACTGACTTTAATAACAATTGCATTATTACAACAAACACGAGAGTATTGTATTACAAGGAATGTGGGGCATAGTGAAGCTATCATATAATAGATGATCAACTTCAATATGAACAAATTGTAATACTATATGATGGATGAACAATTTATTAAGATATGTAGTGTATGAATAAAATAATGATAATTATTCATTAAATAATAGAGAAAATAACTATAACGACCAAGGCAATACAACAAAAGGTGAATTGAATAAAGAGAAATATGAACACAGATACATGAAATTTAACAAGTCAATAATAACCGGGAGAGTCGAATTACATTGAAAAATCGTAACAAGTTTCCTCATGAGTATAATTTCGAATCCCAGTGGTACTCAAAAAAATAAATAAATAACAATCACAGTATTTAAATATGTTCGATTCTATCTCAATCAATCGGGATGATAGTTGAATAAACCTAAAGTAAGTTAGAGAAAAAATGGGAGGAAAAAAGACATCTTACTATCGGAATACTAGAAATTCAACAATGATTATTAATTCTTGGATTTTTCATCACTACTTTCAGCTGGACTTTTTGGTGAAGTTACATGTTGAACGGCAAATCGATGACTATGCCTACGTAGCTTAACTTGACCTGATGATACTAAAGCATTTGCTTGAATTGAGAATTTATCTGAGTCGATCTTTTGAATAGCAGTCTGTGGTGGCGGCGGGGTAAAAGCAGGAGTTTGGATTGATGCAGACAAATTGTTGCTGGAATTTTGCACGTTAGGTACAACAGAACAAACGATTCGAGTATCTTTTGAAATCTAAAAGAAAAAGTGAACAAATTTCAAATGATACAAACAAAAAACAACTATATTTTTATATGAAATTAATGATAACTCTATGTGTTAATCTTGCTGTATACACGGAAGCAATTCCAGGTCTTAATATGAAATAATTACCAGCTAAATTATACTCAAGCAACAGTAGATAATCATTTCGTTATCGATTGACAAAAACAAACTTGGTGCACAAAAGTAAGTATTGGATAGAATATTAACTTACTTTAACATGTCGAATAGGATCGCTGTGTCTACATTGAGACCCATTTGAATTTTGTGTAACAAATGTCGATTTAGGCGCTTGTTGACGGGCGGATGTCAGTTTCATTGATGAATTATCCAAATTCGAGTTGAGGAAATGATTAGCCGAATGACATGAGGCCCGTAGGCTACCAAAACGTCCCTGTTGAAAAGGATTTAAAGATGAATGAGTAGAATCACAAGGTCGAGGAACTGATGCAGAAGATGAACTACCAGAACCCGGAGAACTATGTGAAGATAAGTCTCCACCTGAACACCAACCAGAAGAGAACGAAGAACCAGAAAAACCTGGATTGACAGTTAGTGATGGTCTATGAAAACTGAATACATTTTGTTTCTGAAAATGATCAGACCTAGGACTTTGATTAGGTGAACTGTAAGGGATTATATTACGAGGAGAATACACTGTGGGACTGTTGGTTAATGACATATCATCAGGCATGGAAAACATAGCTCGATGTTGTCGTTCGCTCAACTGACGAATAAGAGGTTTCTCAAGGGATCTAAAGAGATAAAATGGAAGCCGTAGTTTAATGAATTACGAACAAAAGATTTCAAAAAGGTTTTAATAACAGTACACGCTCATAGAAATTTAAGTTTCATTATATTTCGCTTACTCAAAGCAAGAAGGTAATTATTAAGACAAGTTTAACAAAGTTAGTTGCAACTCTGTAGAGATAGAGATTGGACTGTTCAATCTGTTTTCTCAGATATTTTATGAAAATTGTGAGCATTGGAAAACTCCGCCTAGAGCCCTTTTAAAGCTACTTCAGTTCCAAGCTTGGATAAAGGAGAAGGATTGGCCAACAGGTTAGCGATTTCGTTCCGTAGAAAAGAACATTGTCAAAAAACGGTAACCCAGTCGGGGGCCTATGCCCCACGAGAGGGAAAGGGTGTAATAGAGTATTAGAAATTAGTTCAATTTACCAGTATCTACACCACATTAAAAAGTGAATGAAAATTGATTGATCGATCGCCCGAACGTTCAATATATTTTCCTTCTCATTTGCAGTATATACAGTAAAAATATTCGATATAACAAAAGTTGCCAAATGTTACACTTTAATTTATCACAAACAGTAAGCCACTCAGATAAAAACAACAGTTTTGCAGTAAAATAAGTACTAAAATTCTAATAATTAGCGACATAACGACTAGAAGAATATATTGAAATATAAACCATCACAGGTAACTATTACGTTCTCCACATGATTACAGCAGAATACGGTATACAACTATCGGCAATCGAACGTGCAGAACCTCACAGTAACAAATCAAAAAATGAAAGAAACAAAGGAAGTGTTTATTACGGAAGAGTAAAAAATGTACAGAAAAACGGGGAATCTATAGTTGTTAGAATTGGCCATCCAGCTTATCTGCAAGTAAGAAAATTGTGCAATTGTCCAATCACAGCAGGTACGTTGATATTCTAGAAAGTTCTGTTAGGTATTGATTGGACGAAATTTCTTTGGGTCCTTTAGAACCTCAGGAGGATCCGCCGCAACCTTCGAAGCCGTCCTAAAAGTAACTTCGTTTGATGTTGGAGAGCTCAACTTGAAATAATGTCAGACAGTAACAACGTTGAACTTCGTACGTACGTACATCAGTTCGAATTGCCATACCACATTAGCACACAGATAGAGGTAGTAAAAGTATAAGCAGTAATCGGGAACATTAGGGTTTGAAGATGTTATTTAAAGAGTATAATCCAGTGAAATAAATTTGGAATGAGGAAAAAAAGGGACATGAAGAATTCAGGAGACTAGAATTTGGGAGAACACAAAGAGTAGATGCACCTGCGCCATTGCAGACAATTTTGAGCCATGCCATTCAGGGTTCCTAACCATCAGTTGCTATTGTCTCGCGGATCCCAACCAGGTAGTCTACACCTACCAACATGGCTCAGTCCACTTGTCAGTAACTTCATGTATTTGTGCCACGTTTTGGTCTGGCCACCCCTATCTTTCTTCCAACCTACTCCTACACCATAAAACATCGCACGTCGGGGCAGTCGGTGGTTGGGCATACGTAACACGTGTCCCAGCCATCTCAACTGATCAGGTTTCATTACTTCATCAATTGATTTGCCATCCTTACCTATTACCCGTTTCCTAACAACTGAGTTACTTACTCGGTGGTCCCAGGATATACGAGCAATGTTTCGAAGACACCTATGATCGAATATTAGTAATCTACGAATATCCTCTACTCTTACCGGCCATGTTTCACTGCCATAAAGTAGGACAGAACGAACTGCTGCAAAGTAAACCCGTCCTTTGGTTGATAGACGGATATCTAGCCTACGCCATAAATAATGCAAGTTGGCAAAAACTAGTCGAACCTTCTATATGTCTGGTCTATACAGCCACGTCCAGGTCGGAAACCAGTCTAGTTTTCTCTAGTCTGCTCTTCACGAGATTTGGTTAGGCGTCAAAGTATTATTGAAGCTAATATTTTAGACACTATATTAGTCAAATTGATTCCCCTGTGATTGTCACCAGAGGACGTTTGTCCTTTCTTATAGACTGGCACGATCAGAGATTGAGACCAGTCAGGTGGGATTACGTCCAGTTCCCAAATTCTACCTAAGATCTCAGTTAATCTCACTGCTAATAGTGGACCGCCATCCTTAAAAATCTCAAGGGTAAACCTGTCAGGGCCTGCTGCTCTCTCATGCTTCAGATTTCCTATAGCTTTTTCAACTTCGTAAAGAGTTGGACTCGAAATATCGAAGCTTAAGAATATATTTCACTCTCATGATAAAGATGAATCAATGACATCAGTGCTTATAATGGGGACCTGAAAATAAGTAGTCAACTCATTTGATCACAAAGCCTTTTGATATTCTTAATCCCCCAAACTCTATTCCCAAGTTTATGGTTCATCGTACTCTATAAACCGCAACTGCCAATCAATGGAGTTATGTATTTGCGTTTTGTAAAAGGGTATGTCCTTTTTCTATAATTTGGTTGATAGTAAAAGCTTGCTTAATAAACCTTCTTGTACGTCCAAAAACTGATTGAATCTAGTTAGTTTGTTATTCTAGAGCTGCAGATTACTTTAGCCAAACTGAATTCTGTTTAGGCATAGTAAGAAAAGTTGGGTTCTTTAATATCATATCAGCCGAACAAATTAGTTAAAAGCACGATTTCATAATCCGAAACCTAATTTAACACCAGCATTAATTCAACTATTAATTCCTGACTACCATTTTGAAGAAAAGGTCTGCTAGTAGGAGTTAAGGGGGTTAGTGTCAGTTGTCCGTTCATAATATTACAAGGTCGGCAACTATAGTATGGTAGTTTGGCAAGCTGAGTGGTTTCACAACGTTATATATGACATGACAGTTAACTCTTCGGATTGATTTCTACTACGTCAAAATAGTAGTTGGTAATCGAATAGTGCCAGGCTTCAATCTCTTTAGCTCAAGTTACACTTTACTATTTCATATCATTACATAGACCTTTGTTCAACTTTCATCTTAGCTTCTTTCACCACTCGCTGAGGTCGAAGTTGGTAGAAATAATATTGATGCATTGCTCTATTTTGAAAATGAACACCGAAGATAATGAGACCCTGAAGCAACATTTGTGTTCGGAAGGCAAGAAAAATATTTCAAATTCTGTCAAGTTAAAACGCCATACTGCAACTAGATACATACAGTATCGTTAACGAGGAAGAAGAATGCAAGTTTTTCATTTACAACATAAGCTCGAAACGGGTCGGTCACTGTTGGCTTCATGAGCGGTAAACAAAAAATGTCAACTTTAACTACATAAAAATTAAACCTACCTACGATGTGCTGGAAAAAACATAATATTATTTTGAGAAATTGAGTTAGAGCTTATAGGGTGTGTAGAGGTTTGACTTAGAGAAATACCAAATCGTTGAGCAGCAACAGAAGCGTAGGTTTGAGCAGATCCTTTAGAACATGTTACTGGCTGAGAATAACAAATTTTCGATTTATCCATATATGCATTGTTCGGCATTGAGTCTGATTGATGAGTACAATTTAAATTGGTATCTGGTTGTATATGTTGAACTTTAGATTCGTAAGCTCCATTATTCAAATGACGATGACGGGCTTCTCTAATTGTCAAACGTCGAGTTATGCGTTTAGCAACTTCATCGGTGTGCCTTGAACTATTTGATGCACATACGGAAGCATATGATTTACCATCAAAAGGTAGTGATGAAACATCTTTGGGTATTATTTCGGGAGAATTAGAATGACAACTCATCAAGGGATTAAATGGTGTATAAGATAAACATGTGTGTTTATCTGGAATTTGATTTGAGTATCTTGTAGTGTAATTATTATTATTATTATTATTATTATTATTATTATTATTATTATTCAATAGATGAGCTGAAGTAACACGTGGTACAAGACGACCAGAAGAACGATATGGTCCATCAGAACGAATAAATGTTTGACTAATAGGAGTTGCATGAAGACGTAAAGTAGTCCCGCTCTAGATATTTTGTTTTAGTTATAATGAAAATAGAAAAAACAAATGACAGAACGGACAACCGATTAATAATCATAGATTTTGTGGAATGCTACAAAACGTGTTATTATTATTACCACTGATAAAATGATTTTAAATAGGTCTAAACGTTAAAATAGATCACATACACTTGGTATTGGCAAAGATACACATAAAAAAGTTGGTACGACATTATTATTTTAGAAAAAAAGATTAATGCAAGCTAAAATTTTCCAATTACTTAAGTAAAGTGATGAATTTAAACATTTTCTTATATTAGTAATTATACATTATAGACCCCCCTTCTCATTTCATTTCAATGATATAGGATCATTCATTAAAGCTTTTATTGTTATATGATATATGTTGACCTTTTCCAAAGTTTCCATCAAGTTTCGTGTGAATTAACATATTATTTTTCAAATTCAAGTTAAATATACATCAGATATCAAATAATTGATAAGTTGCTTAAGTAAATTCTGTGTAAATTAATTGACATGAATCTTTGATTTAATTAGTCTGAAACTCTAGAACTATTTAACCAATACGATGTATAATAACCATTAAATATTAAATTTTAAAGACTAATATCCCAAATTAAAAATAATTTACATAAGATGTTAGTTTTCAATGTAACACAACGGGATATATCTATTTAAAACACTTGTTTTTGATATATAATCAATTAATTTTGTAGTTAACTATTATTAATCATTAACTGAAATCAAATGATTAGAAACAGAAACACTATGAATTACAGTTTAGTGGCCTAGGATCAAGTAGATCGTATGGATGATTGCTGTCGAAATATACATCCTGACTATTTTTGTATATTATTATCGACTTAGTCCGTGTTAGTAAATATAACCGAATTAAATAAACCGAATACGAGAATGGATTTTGAATATGTATATTTCATACACTCATTGATTTGAACATAAAGTCAGGAAGACGAAACAAAGAAGAAAGAGCTAAGTGAAATGACGTACAGTGGAGAAGGCATGTGAGCCAACTCGATTTAATTATTATTTATCGTCACACAAAAATAAACTACAGACATGTGATGAGTAAGATAAGATGTACACACACACATACGCTCATATAAAAACAGTCAGGGTTGATAAGTGAAAAATTAACAAGGTCAAAACGTGACTCAAGAATAATGGATAAATTGGCCTGTGGAGAAACTAGAATAAGTTATATGGGCTTAACATAGTAACCGACACTACAACAGTATGACACGAATTAAAGTAGCTAACATGATTCAAAACATATTTGCAATACTACCTACTTGCCATTCTTTGAGTCAGAAGATCTTTATTTCTGAAATGGAGAAATATGTTCATATTTCTTTTATTAAAACACTTTTCATATGATATTAAGAGAACTGACCATTTCTCATGAATATAAACTTTCAAAATGAGAACTATTTGTTAATATTAATTCATTTTATGAATTTATATTTTAGATAACTACAGAAAGATAGCTATGAAGTCCAGAGTATTGATTTCCTTTCTAATAAACCTGAATACTTAGAAGCAAACTTATTAAATCTGATTTTTAATCAAAGGTGATGAGAACCTATTTTGGTTTTATTTTGTTTCCAACATCAGTAATAAGATACATTAGAGTACAAGCTTCTTGAAATAAATATCTAGGTGTTTAGTACTGCCTTAACTACATTTGTTCTTAACAGTATATCTTAATAATGGTATTTATGCAATAATTGTGAAAAACCTCGTTTTGTTGACTTACGCTTAAAAGAACTATCAGTGATTAGCATTAAAAACATCAATACATCGATTATTCATAAATTACCTGTAAAATTAGCTTCACAACATCTGTATGATACATCCCAATTGTCGATACATCGTTAACACTTAGAATTAAATCAGCTTCTTTTAAGCCGGCTTTGGCTGCTGGACCATGAGGCACAACTCCAAGTACAAGATGATGCAATGTGTATGCATCTGATAAACCAAAAAATACTCGAATAGCTCGGAAAACGAAACCAAAGCCTTGTTTACCTTTATTGATTATGATTGCTTGGCGAGGAATTCCAAGTGTATAAGGCATGAAAGGTCGCAAAGAAGGAGGGTTGTGACCCACAGGAGAAACCGGAAGATGCATAACACGTGAGGGATTGTTGAAAATCAAGGGTCCGGATGAGGATGGTGAATAAGAGCAATACATATCTGATTTGGTTGTGGAAGTTCCACTACTTTGACCGAGTACAGGTGATGTACTTTTAAAGGACATAAACGAACGAGGAGTATGTTGATAAGGGCAGACATTCAAATGTCCTTCATCTGGCTTTAAATCAACATTAAGAAACCATGGACCTTCATGTAAAGTAGAATCATCGTCACCTATAGGAGAGAAAAGTGATTCTGTATGAGGAGTTAGATGAGGAGTGAGGGTTGTCAGTGAAAGTGAGGATTTAGATGAAGATGAACTTGAAGTCGATGAATGCGAAGCTGTGTGACTAGCGAAATGTTCAAGGTTAGGGCAATTTATGGGCATTGGTGGAGGTTTTTCAACAGATTCAGAAGAGACAAGAGTAATAGGTTGATATATTGTTGGTTCATCTTCTCTTGTAGAGTTCCCAAAAGAGCGGATACTCGAATCATTTTGAAACAGCTCTAAACTAGAATTAGAATCCGATTCTGAAGATTTTGAATGTTTACTAGCATCAGAAATAACATGAAATTTATCTGACTCTTTGATGTTTAACAGAATGGGAGTAGCATTTTCAGTACCAGTGTGAGTGATTGAAGGGATAATAACGCTTGGGTTAACAATTTCAGAAGAGAACTGGTCACATTTGAAAGATTCAGGAGCACTTGGTATATCAGATGACTGAAACTAAAAACACCAATGGGAAAGTATGTTTAAAAACGGATTATTTTCAATATCAATCAAATTAAAAAGCATGATATACAATTAAATATTAACATTTACTATAGAATGTCTATTTGAATAAGTTGGACAAACATTTAAAAAAATTCATAATGAGAATGGAGATTATTAATCGACTTATCCTAGAACAAAGTAATTTTTTATTTAGCCGACTTGTGTTTATTCAGACTACAAATCAGAGGTACCATTCAGCCTAACAGGGGAAAGAAATCAACTTAGTATGAGAAAAATTCGATTACATAGTAGTGATAACATAGTAATAGAAGTACTTACATTTGATGAGTTAGTGTTAATTTGAAAATTATTCAATGACTGGTCAGAAGAAATTATATTTTGTTTATTTGTAATTGACTGTTGTTTATCTGCAGCAAATGTACAGGTCCCTTTAGGAAGTTCAGAATTCCCACGTTTAATATTAAAATTATTGGATGATGCCAGATTGATACGAGATGAGGTATGAGGCGGACTCTTTTCACTGACAGGATCAACATCGTTAGAGTTCAAACTCGTATTGGAATTGTTGCGAAGTTCATTCATTCTAGCTTGTTCCAAAACAACGGAGAAACGAGGTGAATAGGAAGAAAAATAGTGAAATGTACGTGACTCATCAGTGATGTTCTGATTGTCATCGTGGTCATCATCACTAACTTCAGATTTGGTAACATCTATATTCAACTTTTCTAATCTAATTCCGGAAGTCATAGACTGTTGACTATGAATACTATTCTCACTTGCTAACTTTGAGGACGTAGAGTTTTCTATGGTGCTAGAGGTTAATGATAAGTTTTGCAATAAGTGTAAAGCATTACGACTTGCAACAGATTCCGCAGTTAAAGTAGACGTTACCAAATCGTGTTCAATCTTTTCAGGATCAAATTTTTGTTGGCATAAAGACCGCTGAGAACTAGAACTGCTTAGCTCTGAATGCATAAATGACTGTGGGGTGTTTATAGGTGAATCACGGATGCTTCGACTTTTGGAACGAGACTTAAATGACCGAAGAAACAAATTATTACTATCCCCCAAACTGTGACTACGTTTATGTTCAGCAGCTTGCTGTTTAGCGCGTCCAAGACGAGAAGCTGCAGGTCGCCGGATGATATTCGTTAGACTTTGATCGGCAGAAGAATTAAAGCTGAAATTTCGGGAAACCGACAAATGGGGTGCAGGGGAAGATCTATTGCTATACACACCATAATCCATAGGAATGTATACATCTTCATCGTTTTCCACATCATGTTTGTAACGATCAGTACGTGGATCAAAATACGAAGTATCTTCGTCATGTTCAAGTTGAGGTACAAAAGTTGCTTTTTGTCTCAATAAGTTTTTCCAATCTACTGCACCAGGACCAGAGAAGAATGTAGTTTCTTTAACTTCGGATGAACCTCCGATAGTTCCAAGACGGAGTAGAGGATCTCGCTCAAGAAGCCTAGTTATTATATCCACAGCTGATGGAGTGACTTTCCATTCTTCTTCCTCAGGCCAATCGATTGGTGCTGAAAACACAAGAAGAGAATGATTCACGTCAACTACTTACAGAACCCTTTCATAATTCAGTACAAAGTATATTCATTATGTAGTGTTACTTAAACAGGTAAGACACAATAATTTCTAAAGATTCGCGTTGTAATACGCCTTGGTCATAGAAATATCTTGAAATAAACATACTTTCGAGAAACCACATAGAAGAATATTCTGACATATCAATCACTTTACTCACCTAAAAAATGTAGAATCTTTAATTTAGTGACTAATTCCGAATAATCTCATTAATCTCCACAAAATAGTACATAAAAACTACTGAAAAATTGAATTATTTATGGAAATATTAGCAGTAATATTGTACTGAGTGAGCGCCTAAAATGATTATTCAGCTAATTTTGAGACCACTTAATGTTATTTAAATATGAATCAATATATAACATTCTATGATGACAGCTTTTTTCAATTTATTAATCTAAGAATGATAACAGGATAAAATTCATACACCCTATCATTTTATGAATTTATCAAATATTTAATTATAAAAATGTGTGGTAAATATTATCAAGATAATATGAATCTAGACGACTAAATACCAATTGTTTATATATATTCAGTGTACAATTGAATGAGTCCGAGTGAACTTTGACCATATCTTGAAATCAGTGCAAAGGGGAGTGGAGGTTGCTGCATTCAATAGTTTACATCGCGAAATGACTTTAGCTAGATAAGTATTGAAAAACAAGAAGAACTGAGTGGCTGTTTCCTCCTAGTATGGGACTTTTCAGAAAACATTATCCACGATCTCAGAGATACTTTAAAAACTATTGAGAAGCCATGACTAGTGGAGCTCGAACGTGTCTGGTGTCAGGTAGCTACTCACCAACAACACAAAACGATTGAAGCTAGGTACATAAACCGTTAGATCTCGGCTCAGAGTTCTGAAGGTTACTCAGTCACCGAGAAATTTGAGGGTTCTGAGTTCACTCACCCGGTGGAGTTGTGAATGAACACAATTGAGTAGTCCCATACTAGGACGAAATAGTGGTTATCCAAATAATTTTAGTCAGTGATCTAAACTAAAAATCACCTTAAATATTTAACAGGTATTTGATAGCTGTTACAACTAGATATCTAATAACTGTATAACTAGAATCAGTTAGTCATATGCAACATTGGACCTGGTACATGTGTACACCGGTTGAAGTTGTCATACCACACTAGAGTTGCAAGATGACATTGTACAGGTAAATCCCAAAGTGATAGAGGCAGTAACAGTATTAGTGGCAATGGAAAAGACTAGGGATTGAAGATATAACTCGAGAATATATGGATGATTGGAATAAACAAATTTATAAAGTAATTTAGGAACTTGGGATCTAGGAGAGAACAAACAATGGATGCACCTGTGCCATTGCGAACGATTCTCAACCACGTTACACAACGTCCCTAACTACTTGTTACGATAATCACAATGATACCAACCAGGTGGTTTTAACTTACCTGCATGGCTTACTCCAGTGTCTTCATGGACAGTTGAGAAGGCTTGGCCACCCCTAGCTACCTTCCAGCATCATTAGTCGAAGTAGTAGGTGGACCATTGTACGCGTTACATGACCTAACTATATCAATCTGTAAAGATGCACCACTGCATCAATTGAATTACCATCTTCATCTAGTACCATGCGTCCAACCCTAGAATCTCTAACCTAGTAAGTCCTAGCATACACGAGAAATGTTTCGAATACTAGCAACCTACGAATATACTCCTTTATTTTTAAGGACTAGTCTTCAAAGACATAAAGTATAACGGTGCAAACTGCTGAGCGGTATACACATTCTTTAGTTGGGAGATGGATATCTCTCCCTAAACCACAAGTGAAACAAGTTGACAAATCCTAACCGAGTTTTTTTTTTTAATTCACACCGAGATTTGATCAGACGCCATTATGATGAATCATATTTATTGCTACGAGTGGAAATAAAAAAGTTCTAATTAATAGTTAGCATATGTTACAACTAAAAATATTGGTATTTAATGCAAATCGGATTAGCTCTTAAGTGTATAAACAGTAATAAGTCTAATCACCTCCTAAATCAGTTTAAAAAACGTTCTTTAGTGTGTAAGCTCAGCTAAAGGAATTTAGTTAATTGACTTTGATATTCTATACATGGATGAAGATTTAAAATTAGATAGTGATGTAATATATAGTTTATATATAAATTTGGATATTTTGTTTAAATTCTATGAAAAAAAACTATTTTACCAGTGTATTTGAACACCTACCATTGAATATCCGTAAAGCGGAACACAGTGCAATTTACACAAAACAAAAATCAATTGCATTTCACTTTACCCCAATATAAAAAAATATTACTTTTTGTTATTTTGAAATAAAGTTCTTTCATATTTTTATTTCAAAATTTCTGACATACAAAGAAAAAAACACAATTATCCTACAGGTCATGCACCATTAAAATAAATTACATTGAAACAATCAAGTATATATATATAAATATGTAGATATATGAACATGTAAATATGTAAAGTATGCGCGTGTCTGCACGAGACATAAGGCATGAGGCGAAAAATAAATCGAAACTTGAATTAAAAAAAAACATAAAATATGCACACGGTGAGAAATCACTATTTCTTAAATCGATTACCAACTGTGTCCGAAAAATAAGGGTGCCTAAAAAGACGATTATCGATCGTGAAAACATGTGGTAATTTCGCGAATAGCTTGTTTTACATAATACAAGAAAGGAATGATGGACGAAAACATAGGAGAAAAACAATACTTGTGACATTTTTGTTCGTCGATTGTCCTGGAATTTCGATTAGCTAACTAATTATACATATATAAATAACATATACCTGTCACAATATTATCGAAAAGTTCTTCTATAGTGGCACCACAAAACGGAACGCATCCTACGAGAAATTCGTATAACATAATCCCCATAGACCACCAATCCACTGGTTTACCTATCAGGAAATAAAAAAAGTTGGTAAACTGAAATTTGACGAGTAAATATGTGAACATAAGATGTATGAACAATTAAAATCTGCATAAATATCTTGAGAAAATATGATATAGTTTAGAGGTTCGATCTCTGAACATGCAAAAAATATAGATTAGCCAGTGAATTATATTACCTATCCACGCCTGTTATTTGTCCATGACACTAATAGACTGTATAGAACAGATTATACGGAGTTAAATTTGGTTGGACCCAAGTGGCACATCTGTCATACATGGTTTAAACGTTCTTCTTTCAAGTAGTTTAATGGGCTGCTACCTCGACTAGATGATTGACAATAAAGTAGTTAGATAGCTGAGCTGATAAGGTGTTATGAAAATGGTACCATATTTTGATATAGTTCTGCTTTCAAAATTTATTAATTCTACTTCTTTTATTACGATTTTTTCCCTTTTGTAATTTTCCTCAAGAGTGAGAAAAATTCAAGTGTTTCACATTTATTAGATGTCAGACATACATATGATGTGGAAGTTTCTTACTGAACATACAGAGTACTACTAAATCAAAGGTATAACGTTTCATTTAGTTATAGTTATTAGACACAACTTGAATGTAATTTAAATAATTGTACCTAATTCGATACTTAACAAAGACTTTTAGATTGACTTGAATAAGTGCATGATTAAAACAAATGCAAACTTACTACCACTACTAGTAGTTTCAAAAATTTACATAAACTTAAAATAATAACTAAGAGTAGAAACGAATTCATAGGATTGAATACAAAAATTCGAAAAAAATATTTATGAAAAAAGTTACCGTAACCCTGACGGAGAATCACTTCTGGAGCAATGTATTCTGGAGTTCCAAATACTTGTTTATCCCGAAACATTTTACAGTCCTTTTCTAAATCCAAATTTTTTTCATATAAATTAGTAGCTAAATTCATTAAACCAATTCGGGAGAGTCCAAAGTCAGTTAACTTTATATGACCTTCATGTGTTATTAGCAAACTTTAAGAATGTATGAGAGAAAAAGAAATGATGGTTGAAAAATTGTAAAAAGATAGTAAATAATTATTTAAATAGAATAGTAAATAATAATCACTCTATAAAATGTAGATAAAGCAGAATCAACTAACGATGTAAAAGATTTAAGTAATTGACATTAATATACAGACTAAAATTCTATGATGAAAGAATAACTCTCTAATAAATTATTGTACTGAATCAAGGTAACCAAATGGAAACTTTTCTCATATAAAGAAATTCTGAATCCAAATTAAGTAAGAGGAATAACTGATAAACAACGACAAAAAAACTAGAAAATTAAGGAATCTGCTCCTTATACCTTATTTATGGATAGGATAAATAATAGAACAAGACACAAAGCACACCAAACAATTAAGAGACATAATAAACATAATATATGACGTTAAAAGGTCATAACACTACGGTATAGAAGAACTGTGTATCTAAATTGAACATATATTAAAATATGACCTAGAGGAGAAAAATTGGAGCAACATTTCATAAGAAAAATTTGTATACACAAAAATGACATCAAAAAGAAACAGATGTGAACTAGCAGGTCGGATTCAGAAAATTTTAGTTTACCAATAGTACATAATATTCCAGACAGTAATATGTTCATATCATTTGTAAAAGTATTCATTAAAATAACCAAATATGAAAGCAATACATAAGATAATACATTATGATTGATCCGAGTGTATGATTATATTTAATAATCCTGGATTAACTTATTGAGTATGGAAATTGTATAAGTTCACTGAAAAATGAAGTGTTAAATCAACATAGCCAATCATCATGGTGATTGCGATGTAAACCAATACAGATTTCTCGAAGATGCAAAACCAATTCCCATACATCTGATTTATTCATTTAATGAATGTGTAAACAAAGTCTTAACATTATTTGAAAAAAAGTAAAACTGTCAACTTAAATACAAAATTAATCGACGTCGAAAAGTTACTTTTATATCTGGTCTTTTGATCCCTATAGTGACAAGTCTGACACTGAGTAAACAAGCCTGTATGACAAAATAATTGATGTTAAGGTATTTCAAATTTTTAGACGTTTAAAAAGATGAAAGATAAATGAAAAGCTGAAAACATGTACTAGTTAAGTCTGTCATATTAAATGACAGATTTATATTATTCTTTGAGGAAAATATGACAAATGATAGTCTATAGTAGTGGTTTTTATCGTCTATAGATTGAAAATAAATATATTTTTCTAGGTAAGCAAAACTTTTAAAAGTATCGGAAACAAAAAAAACACTCAACCGAAATTTGTTATGACGTTGGTCAGAGAGGGACTAGCCTAAAATGAATGAAGATAAGGAAAAAAGAAACTATTACTCCTTTAATGAGTTTGGGGTTAAATAGTGTTATGACTTATACGCCTGTCAAATATCACGTGGCAAAATGGCTAATCAGAATGTCGACTTCTATGACCCCGTCACTGAGCTAAACCAATGACATATCATCCAGCACTAGCAGCCCTGAGTTAACTCTGAATCCTTAGTCCTAGATATAGTAGCTTCTCAGTGACTCTCAACATGGCTTTTTTAAAACTCGATATTGCATGACCTGCCACTTGGCTTCTTCAATTTAGTCTTCACTCAACGTAACCGAGGATATCTAGTCTTGGTGATATATTTTGTAATGGTTAGGCACCAGCTTCTTATAAGCAAACTCGCATCTTATGGGATCGAAAAACCCTCTGTTTGCTTGGTTTAATTCATTTCTCAGTCATTGACACCAAATAGTTAAAATAAACTTTTTTTCAGATGTCCCGGTCAAAAGTAGTGTAATACAATGTAGTATCCTAATTCTTCTGTTCTTTTTAGTTTATATAAATGATATTTGCAATTGCTTCTGAATGAAAAAGCCTCTTGTATAAGCAGATAATCTTAAAGTAATGTATCCATTTTCTCCTCATTAGATGGGCGACATGCGAAATTGCATGAAACTCAACAAGGTAACCCAGTGATGCTCAAAGCGGTAGTTGGAGCTTCACATACTTAGTGTGGATGGATATGCTTTGATAATAATCCATTCAACTTAGATCTTATTATAAATGGTAAGGTGTTATCCAAGTTGCACACAGTAATGGACTTGGGACTCAAGCATTCTTACAATTCTTCCTTCTTACGACAGGTCTCGAAACAGAACTCCAAGTCTCAACGTCTTCTGAGTTGCATAATTCACAACTTCTATAACAACGAGTACAAAGTTTGTATCTCACTGCTCCTGGAGTACTGCACATTTATTTTTAGGAATGTTCGTATAAGGGATAAACAAAGGCTGAAATCTGTTCAGAGACGATCTACAGTCCGGGCCCTTGGGACTGATTGTATCTTAAGCCCGGATGTAATAAACTTGGACTCAACTCTTTATGGAAGAGCGAACTCAAACTAAACCTAATCCTTTTAATTCAAAATACTTGATAACCTGTCGTTTGCATTCAATGAAGCAATACAATATGCAGAAACTCCTAGTCACAACATCCGTAACTCTTTGTCATTAGTGAAACAATCTCATTCTAAATTTCATGCAATTATTTCCCTTTATGAATTTAAATAAAGCCAGAAGAAATATTGATTCTAACACCTAATAATCTCTGACCTGTTCTTGTATATATAAGTTATCATTGATAACCCTTGTTATTCCAATCCTTTACATTTACTTATGTCAATTGTTCCATACTATTTCTTATCTCAATTTAAAATTCTAATACATATTTGGTTGTAAGTAGCTGATGAGAAACCACCAAATATAATGAATTCATATTACTCTGCATCAATATTTGTTCTGGCTTTATTTAAATATCATTCTAAACATTCCATATGAATTACTTTACCAGGAAATGTTTCAGACTCTGGAACAATCTACCACAGTCCGTGAAATAAAATCATTCCTATCCTTTGTTCACTGCATTGATTCCTACTTCTCCTTTCAAAATGACTTAAACGTCCTTACACCTGTAAGCGTATCCCATTCCACAAGTGTGAGTATGGGAAATTTAAATGTTTGATCGTTTTTATTACTGAGACCACTAAGTAAACCTCCTTACCTGTTGATACTTTACACTAACACCGTCCCTGGTAACTTTAACTAATTTGAAGAACATCTAACACAACAGTATATTGTGAAATAATCCCACACATCTATTATGGTAGACCTGATCGACCAATCGTAGTAATTATTGTTTTGTAGTTCGGAGCTCTCTTGTCCTTTTTTAATTTTCTCTGGTTGTAAATAATTATAATCAATTCACGATGGCGTAGGAAATGACCTTAAATACACCATTCATTCGTTAACAAGATATCCACTTAAAAAGAATTAAAAGTTCCCGGCTGACGCATTTCATCACAGTAACACATGTGAAAAACGCAATACTTAAATATTTTTTGAACTAGAACATTTTAAACAATCTAATATCCCATATGTCCTCTACATTTAATATTACTACCTATATCGAGCTGATCATACCTGTAAACTGACATGAATTTTGTAACTATTATTTTAAGAATATATAATATTATGTTGAACCAATCAACATAACTCACATGGTTTATTTATCCATCGTGATTTTAGGATGGTTAAAAATATACATGAGGAGTTCTACTTTCGCCAAATGAGATTACTTCACAGTCAAATGTCAGTTATTGCTTCATGATATTTATGAGGGTTAGTAGAATGTGAAATTTTGATGGAACAAATCATAGTTGTTATTGATTTATGTATCACGATTATAATCTGTTATTATTGTATACATCTATTTACTCAGTCATATTGGCTTTAAAGGTACTGCTATTAAGATTCAAATGATATAGAGTTAATTATCAAACTATAATCGACAAATATATCCAACAAAATTGTTAACAATGGAATAACATTCAGTCACGAAGTTCCAGACACAAAGAACAGTGTTTGACTAGCTGGTAGAATGTGGAGTCAGGGGGGTATCAGTTTTATTAATGAGCTAAATAGTTGGAAACTAAACTAGAGAAATGTGCGATTTTACATTAAATTATATGAAATTACTGTAGACAGGTGAAATGTAATTTTGAAAATTGCATATTATACATTGTTAAGTTATTATTAATCTTTCAAAAGCGAATTATTTATCATATATAATTCATTTAGAAATAGTATTAAGCTGTAATGGAGTTATGGCAAGATATTCGACTTTGTTCTACGTGCGGTGTCAGAAAATTATAACTACGAGCATTTGAGCTCAGTAAACTGTAAATGAATACATTTTAAAGGCATACAAATCAGCATATATATTTCATAAAATCACAAAGTTTCAGAACGATCAAATAACTCTGAAATAATACAATAAACAGTTGTGAACTAACTGAAAAATAATCACACAATTGTACATTCATTGACAATCAAAGTAGAACTTACTTATCTGGTTTTAAATCTCTGTGAACGATGCCATAATTATGCAAATATTCAAGAGCTAATACAGTTTCAGCAAAATACATTCTAGCCAAATCTAATGGTAAGGGTCCACCAATATGTTTTAATAAAGTTGCTACATCACCCCCTTCCACATATTCCATCACCATGCATAAACATTTTTTTGTTTCGAATGTACAACATAAACTAACAACAAATGGATTGTCTGCAAAACTCATAATATCTCGTTCAGCGAATACTTGTTCAACTTGATTACGCAATTGTAAGTGTTGTTTACGAATTTTCTTCAAGCTAAATCGTTGTCTAGTTATTTTATGTCTTACAAGATAAACAGCACTGAAAAATGAGAATATTAAGTAAATAAAATCAATAGTACTACTGCATACTTTATGAAATTATATTCATTTAAGAATTAAGTTGTTAACAGATAATGAAACAGACGATTAAAAGTGTAAACAACGTCCACTGAAAAAAAGTTTTTCGAAAGTTTAAGGAAAGAAAATAACATGAACTAAAAAACATAAATTAAAGTGGAAGACACATTTCATATCGATGGATTTATCAAATCCAGTTGACCAGCCTAATTAAAAATAATTCCAACGGATCGAATACTAGCAATTCAATAGAAATGACACTTATAGAATAATCGGTTTTATTAAAAGTATTGAGAAATAGTTGAGGAAATTTTCTGACTTTTTATTTCAGTAAAGTATAAATAAATGAACAAAAATAAACCTGAAAATTACGAGGCATTTCATTTTTGTTCATATAAATTTTGATGCAATAGAGCAAAGCTTTGTGAAACAATCTAGCTAAGAACTTTGAGTATATTCTCAATCCAGGAGACTGGACCGATGGGCAGAACACTTTAGGGATCAGTTCAACCGCCTTTAGACACACTTCGGTTTCCCATGATCTCCAGTCAACCTGAATGGCAAGTTAATGTAAGTCCTTCGACCGTTTACGAAGTTGAAAAAGCTATAGGAAATCTGAAGCATGAGAGAGCAGCAGGCCCTGACAGGTTTACCCTTGAGATTTTTAAGGATGGCGGTCCACTATTAGCAGTGAGATTAACTGAGATCTTAGGTAGAATTTGGGAACTGGACGTAATCCCACCTGACTGGTCTCAATCTCTGATCGTGCCAGTCTATAAGAAAGGACAAACGTCCTCTGGTGACAATCACAGGGGAATCAATTTGACTAATATAGTGTCTAAAATATTAGCTTCAATAATACTTTGACGCCTAACCAAATCTCGTGAAGAGCAGACTAGAGAAAACTAGACTGGTTTCCGACCTGGACGTGACTGTATAGACCAGACATATAGAAGGTTCGACTAGTTTTTGCCAACTTGCATTATTTATGGCGTAGGCTAGATATCCGTCTATCAACCAAAGGACGGGTTTACTTTGCAGCAGTTCGTTCTGTCCTACTTTATGGCAGTGAAACATGGCCGGTAAGAGTAGAGGATATTCGTAGATTACTAATATTCGATCATAGGTGTCTTCGAAACATTGCTCGTATATCCTGGGACCACCGAGTAAGTAACTCAGTTGTTAGGAAACGGGTAATAGGTAAGGATGGCAAATCAATTGATGAAGTAATGAAACCTGATCAGTTGAGATGGCTGGGACACGTGTTACGTATGCCCAACCACCGACTGCCCCGACGTGCGATGTTTTATGGTGTAGGAGTAGGTTGGAAGAAAGATAGGGGTGGCCAGACCAAAACGTGGCACAAATACATGAAGTTACTGACAAGTGGACTGAGCCATGTTGGTAGGTGTAGACTACCTGGTTGGGATCCGCGAGACAATAGCAACTGATGGTTAGGAACCCTGAATGGCATGGCTCAAAATTGTCTGCAATGGCGCAGGTGCATCTACTCTTTGTGTTCTCCCAAATTCTAGTCTCCTGAATTCTTCATGTCCCTTTTTTTCCTCATTCCAAATTTATTTCACTGGATTATACTCTTTAAATAACATCTTCAAACCCTAATGTTCCCGATTACTGCTTATACTTTTACTACCTCTATCTGTGTGCTAATGTGGTATGGCAATTCGAACTGATGTACGTACGTACGAAGTTCTACGTTGTTACTGACTGATTTTGAGTAATGGTTGTATTATCAGTGTTCAACTAAAAATTCTTTAATTATTTGCTGAGAGAATATGAATCTTAGTAACGTACTGTAACAGTTTCATGAGAACTGTATATATGATAAAACTGAATTTCGATAACTATTAAATATTAACTAAAGGAATACATTTGAAAACAGTTTTATCTCACTAGTATTCAGTACATAAAATTGCTTCGAATGGGAAAGATTTTAGCTAATGAAAACTAAAGTAGTTTCCGTCGAATTCTAAAAATAATATTGTAGTTAGTGTTTTAGTAAAATATATGCAACATATTCTGAAATCATAGACAAATAGAAACATGATGATGACGGATGATGCTTACCCATAAGCGCCATTAGATATCAATTTAATAACTTCAAAGTCAGCTTCACAAGGTGGACGAATTGGAACGCAACTACTATTGCTACGCGCTGTCCGCGAAACAATTTCATCATCAGTATGCATACATGAATCCAGGTTAGATCCACTAGTTGTTCTAACTCTTATGGTAGAATCAGATTTAAATTTCTCTGGATGGTGTGAATCATTTAAATTAGAACTACACAGATGAGAAGCTTTGATATTCTGTGACTCTGTAAAATAAAAGTATATATATATATATATATATATATATATATATATCAAAACTAAACAATAAACACGATGAAAACTGTCATAGATTAGCTTTAAATAATATTCGCAAAGTGAATAAGGCTAGAAAACCATTTAAACTCTAAAAAACTATTCCTTGTTAACATTTAATGTCATCAGATATTTAAAAGTTTCATTTATGAATTGAGTGAAGGTGCAAACTGACCATCAAGACAATAGTTGTTGATTAGAAAGTGAAGATTTTAAAATGGATGGGATGAGGAATATAAGTAAATCTATATAAGCTTCGCTAGACATGTGGCACTGTTAACAGTAACGCCAGGTATGGACAAAGTTCGTCGATAATAACGTTGAAAATTAAATGAAATCTCATTGGCTTCTTTTTTAATCATTCTTTGAATCAAGTTATGATCCTACAAATAACAATAATAAATCAAATAAACTATGATTCTCTGTCATATAAAAGTCGAGCCAAAAAAAGAAGCATACGATGGTGTTAGGTGCAGGTTTGACCCATTATGAGCACAGATAACCGTTAAAATGACGGATAAACTGCTTATTGGTTAGTGATGGAAAATATTACCAAGTGACCTAGTGATCATTGCTAAACAGAATATGCTGACTTGTTACATTTTCTAACAATACCTAATATACAAAAGTATAAGATGAGAGTAAGCATGATCAAAAGTCACACATAACATAAGGACAAGAAATATCTATGAAATTTAGAACTTCAGATATTGATAAATTAACTGTTCGTTATCACACATACAACACCTAAAAATGGAGGTGCAAGGTAAAAATAATAATAAAGTGTTAGTATTAAGGTTTATGGAGTAAAAAAATGAAAACAGTTTACGTTCAGCCACTATGATCAAATATTTATAAATGTAATCAAAACAACGAACTAAGCATGAACAAATGATAAATGCAACGCATACAGGTGAGAGATACAATAAAAATACGAGAAATTACCAACTAATTCACACTAGGGCACGATATAATCCCATAAAACCCAAAATCTAATCGAAATAGTCATTAAAAAGACATCTGACAACCTTTATTAGTAGTAAATATGACTAGAGAAGTGCGACAGGAAACGAATCCTCTAAAAATAGTGAGTGGAGCACAATGAAGTGGATAAAAGTAAGCGGGGAAATAAAACCGGAAGAGTAATTAGAATATTAGATTAAAACAAGTATGCTGCAAATTATCAAGTGGGTGACAGAAAAAAGTAGAACCTAAAGCACTGCCAGTTTAGGTCGGCAGATATCTAAATTTCATTGGGTAGATAGATAGATGATAGATAAAATCAGATCAACAAAGTATTCCTCAAAGACATGAGTCGTAAATAAACATACTTTAAGTTTCTAATTATGAGACAAGTAGAAAACGGTTAAATAGAGGTGAAAATTGGGGAACACTTGCATCCCTAAACAACTGCATTTACTAAAAAAAAACTATTGATTGTATGACCCCAGTGTTTTTTCCCGGCTGTGTTAATATGAAACTATTAATGTGGGTTAATAACCAAGTAGCTAGGATGTTTCTTTATTTCAAAATACAATGAAAGTACTTAATAAAGAGTTCTGTGAGTAATTAAGGGGCCAATCGAAGTTTAAATAAAAAGACTGTTTCGGAAGTGAAAATGAAAATGAAGATCGTAACATACTGTGTACAAAAGATTCGTTTTAAACTTACCATCCAAGACAGTTTTACTGAGACCAAGCTTCGAAATAATGTATAGAGGGACGTCAGCTGAAATGATCTGAGAACCCGGTACATTAACGGAGTTCGTTCGATGACGTACGTGACTTTCAGCAACTTCTAACATTTGATAAAATTCAGACGGATCGAACTCTAAACATTCGAGTAATCGTGCAGGCCGGGCAATAATCAAAAGTAGTCGGCGGACAAATGTGACGACAAGCGGAATAGAATCCGCGTCACGAGTACGAGTCTGACAAGAAATTGAAAACCAATAAGAAGTTAACTGATAGTCAAAGATGAAATGCTAGGGATGGTAAAAATCTCTCTAAGCAAGGTGTTAAATATAAACAAGAACGAAAACTCATCAAATATAAGTCCTGAATAACAACAACAGGATAATACAAATACTTAAAAATAAATGGAATTAATGAATAATTACTTACATCTTCGACAAGTTTGCTCAAATTTTCAGTCATTTCATAAAAATAGCGGCAGGTTACAAGACCTGAAAGAGCCTTCTGCAAACAATCTCGTGCATGTTGGACAACTTGACAATGGACAAATCTTGCTACTGCAGACCACGATACTGTATCCATATGCTCCATTTCATCAGCCAGGGAAGCCAACTGTTCTTGCATGTGAGCGGATGCCTGAAAGACAAAATTACATTGAAATGAGCACATTTATCCATATACGATATAGTGACCCAGTAATGGCATTTACCTTCATTGTATGAACATATTATGTAGGCTATCGGAACTAAAGTTCTTTTCAAATAAACTAAGTACAGAATTTGAACATGAGACTTAACAGCTGAGAATCACGTGTCCACACCACGTAAAGATACAAGACGTATTAAGATGTAAACAAAGGTAAAACATAAGGAAAAAAGCTATTTGATTAGTGATGTTTTTAAATGCACATCGATTGGAGTTTCTATCGAATTGTTTTGTAAAACTCGATGTAGCAGTAGTAGTATGTAACATCAATTGGAAGTGGAAACTCTGGTAGCAGAAGGCTAAAAAGATCGAGTTGAAGAAAATAGAAGGGAAAATAGAAAGGAACTGTGAACTTGAATGTGAAAGACAAATGATGTAAATTTGCAAATGAAGTATTCGGTGTATGGTTCTTATATTTTACCAAGATATTCTGTAATTTTATATTAAAATACATTGCTTGTCCCCGCCTGTGTTCTCGTTCACAACAGCAGTAGTAATAGTAGCAATAACATGAAGAAAGCTTCATATTATCACATAAAGATATAGAATTAATCCATAAACTATTTAATTACTTGATATTTAACCACATATAATTTGATACCCAAGCCATGTATATTTCGGCTGCATCATTTTGATCACAAAATGAATAACTTATAATTTCATAGTTCAGTATCACACAAAATTGTTTATAACTTTTTCAAAAAAGTAGTATTATATACATGTTCAATAGTGAATTAATTTTTGATCAACAGAGAGTTGGTGTATTGGTCTTGTTTTCAATCTATTTTTTACGATTATGTGAACGTTGTATCTGACATATTTTCTAAAGAAAATCAAAAATCAAATCATGATGACTTTTTACTATGAACCAATAAAAAAATTCTATCCCTTACCTTTAATTATTACACAAAAACATATACTTGAAAAAATTAGATAATAAGACGTGAAGAAAAGAATGAGAAAATATTTCAAGGATGTAGAAGAGTATGAAAAAACAAGCAATACTCACAGAAAATGTACTTTTGTGACTAATTTAATAAAAGATCAATTCGAGATTGAACTAAAATTAATTTAAGCAAACGAGAAGAGTATAAATCCCATGTCATTAGCAATTAAACTAAACAATTTACCAATTTCAGTAGTTGAGATCATGAGTCAAATGAAGCTAGACCACCATGGAAAACGTACAAGCACTGGACGGCCGTTTCGTCCTGTTGTGGGACTCCTCAGCAGTGCGCATCCACAATCCCGCCTCGCGAGATTAGGACTCAGGACACATCAGTCTTGCAGGAGAGCGCTTAACCACTAGACCACTGAACCGGCTGGCATCCAACGGTGTCAATGTTTAACTTCAACTAATCCACGAAATTGAGCGACACATCCACCCTTGTCATCAGTGAGTTAAATTTCACAACAGACCCAGTTGAACTCCACCGGTCACTGCTTCGCACTAGAACTCCAGGATATACCTCTTGAAGCCCATCACCAGTGAGCATGTTTTGATTAATATCAGAAGGGGTTTTGTGGAGATTGTAGTAATTTCAATAGTTGAGATCATGAGTTAATTGTTATTCAAACACAATTTAAAATTGATCCATTAAAATAAAGAATTTAATGACCATTTCATCTTAATCAGTTTGAATAGATGCAAAATAAAATCTAATCTTGTTTAAAATATTTGATTTACAAACGGGAAAAACAAGAAAACATTACTAGGTTAAAAAAAGCAGGTTAACAGATTAATAGTTAAAAATGATTTTGACGCTAAACTCGCTATTGTACAAATTTCTTTTCTTAAGAGGATATTCTTGCTAAGATATAATAAACTTTCATTTACTGTGCATAAAAAATTCGTTAACTGAAACTATTATGGTGTTGATCAGTTATGATTGTATTATTTCATAAGTGATATAATTCAGTAAACTTATAAAGTAACATTGCAATTTAATACCATAGTTTTCATATATATATATATATATAAACTAACCTTTGGAAAGCGCTCCCGATAAACATGGTTTAAAAGCAGTATATCTTGTTCACCACCAACATTTGAGACACGTAATGGACTATTATTGTGGAAAAAAAGGAATCATATCATATCATGTAATTGTGAGAAAAGTAAATAGTGATATAAAAGAGATAATCGACCTAACATAAACATAAACAAGGATAACTAATAACAAATACATTTCTGTTATATCTCATTGAGTAGGAAAATTATATTTCTGACGTTTCGTGACTTAATGTAAGCCACTTCTTTAGATGCCCCCAAATGCCCTGGTACGGCCGAGAGTGGAGAGAGTCCGTTCTCCCTCTCGAAATGCTCTCACATGGCCACGCCTATATAGCCTCTGCCAGAGAAGTCCTACTCACTGCCTTCTCGTGACGGGGGAGGACGAAAAGCGAATGTCCGAGCTTTAACCGGATTCCAAATCAATGGTTCACATAGGCTCCAGTATCCTGTGGGAACAAATGGCGTATGAACCAATTGTTGGTCACCGGCTTCCACGGGACTGCATCTCCTTACGATGCTCCACTGCCTTGTAGATCAGACCTTTAGGTCCAGTGCTCGGGGAGTGGTCCCTTAAGAAAATTACCAGCTTCGGTTTGGGCACCCGGACAGTATCATAGCCCTCACACATATCGAATGAGATTTGTGTGGCGCATATGTATTTGGTGCCTCCTTGTACCAATATCTATGTGTTAAAATAAATAAATAAATAAACTTCTTTAGATTAAATAAATAACCAAACTAAATTAACACGGAAAAATAGTACATAGAAAGCAATGCAAAATATTTTTAGTACAATTAAAACCATGATAAGTTTGAATATGTCAATGTAAAGTTATTCTTGATTAAGGTGAATTTGTATGACCTGTCACTGTATTCATTTTTGCGTCAGAAGGTGGGTATGAAAGATATATGCATTTGCAATATGAAGTAAATAATGTAATAGAGACTAATATTTAGATCATAATCCGAAACCACTGAATGATTAGGGTTAATAAATTTATTCGTGTGACAATTAACCATCAAATTAGATACAAACAATACTTTCCCTACCCACAATGAAAAAAGTACGTACGAGACAAAATGAATAATGATGATAAACATGAATCGACTTCATAATAAATTGAATCATAAGTTCTGTTTTGACTGAAATTGAGGGGATTTCTAATAGTCTTAAAGGTAGAATAATGGATAGGAATAAATATGAGGTGGCAAACCGCTGCAAAAAGTACTGAATTGTGTGCTGCAATAAAGTGAGCAGTAAAACGATAGCAAGTGACAATAAAACATTGTCGAATAACAATACTTCAAACAACTAACACTTTTATCCAATTGAATCGTTTGTGTGATACTTCTTGTCAGGAAATACTAAGTCGAAAATAACTGAAAAACACTGACTGTGATTCTTCAGTAATATAACATTTCGACTCAACGTGAACAACAAATGAATTTTCAAGCAGTAGAAATACATGTATTAAAATTGGGGTGTGTTACATCTAATTTATTTGGAACAAAAAATCATAACGTGATTTGTTATCCCAAAAAGTACCACACAAAACAAGATACAAGTTTTATAAAATGACAATCAAGCAAACAAGATTTATTTTTCATCGATTAAAATCTTGTGATCAACCCATTGCGTTGAAGGCACTCAATGAGTTCCTGAAGTATAACGCAAAGTTCACTGAAACGAAAACTTCATTGGAATTTATAAAAAAACTGTATCGAATCATGTCATTATCCGAAACCGTTCTATAAGTCACTACGCCTTAATCATATTAATCCAAATAGAAAAACATTAAAACGCTATGCACTTAATAAAATTGACACATTGAATAATGACTTGACAGATATAGAAGTTAGTATCGCTCGCAGACGATTTGTAGTTGATGAATTAACAGAAGACCTTAAGTCCCAGTTTATGGAGTACGTCACAAAAATAAAAAAGAAAGGTTCAAACAAGAAACATATCCAACTTCTCAAAAGCCTAGAAAATCAACCAGTTGAAAATAAATTTCCGACTGAACCAAAAAAGTATGTGCATAATTTTTCCGGTACTGAATTAAATAAAGAAAAACTTGAAGTATTAGCACTTGGCCTAAAATTCTGTGATACACGAAACCGCGTAAATCAAATCGATACAGACATCCAATTTGAAAACCTAAATCGTCAGACATCAGATCTAGTCCCGACCTCTGACCAGGAACTTGAACGTTTCAAATCAAACCTAGTTGACTGTTGCTATCAGTTTAAGAATAGTAGATATAACTTCAGAAGTATTTTAACTAAGAAACACAGGGAGGCTATCATGGATCTCATTAGTGACGAGAATCTGATCATCACAAAACCCGATTAAGGAACAGGAACCGTCCTACTTAACAAAAAAGATTACATTGACAAGATGAATAATATCTTGAATGATCTTTAAAAATTTCAGAAACTGAATAACCAAAAAGACGTCAATAATAACATAGAGAATGAACTGACCCGAACCTTAAAAAAGCTCAGAGATCAACATATGATTCCAAAAGACGTATACGAAACAATTAAGCCAATAGGTACACATTTACCTAGGTTATACGGACTGCCAAAGATACACAAACCGGATATCCCATTAAGGCCAATTTTGGACATGTATGATTCTCCATATCATACTGTAGCAAAGTGGCTAGTAACTGTTTTGAAACCACTCCATAATCGCCTGGTAAAACATAGTATTAAGGACGTATTCCAATTCGTTGACAGGATTAAAAACATAAACACGAAAGATCAAACGATGATTTCTTTTGACGTAGCATCACTGTTCACAAATGTTCCACTCAGAGAAACTGTAGAATATATTTGTGAACAACTTAGAGAACAGGAACTAGGAACGACAATCCCTGTAGAGATCATCAAAGAATTATTACTAAAATGCACTATGAATGTACATTTCAAATTCAATGGGGAAATCTACAGACAAATAGATGGCGTCGCGATGGGTTCACCCCTGGGTCCCATATTGGCAGACATTTCCTTTCTAAACTAGAAAACGGCCCACTGGCACAAGAGATCGATAAGTTTCCATTGTACTGTCGATATATGGATGATACATTTATCCTTTGTAACGAGCATACGGACTTGATAAGAACACTCGAGCAATTCAATACAGCTCACCCGTCCATAAATTCACATGTGAGAAAGAAAATGGGGGTAAAATAGCCTTCCTAGATGTTCTGCTTACAAGGAGAAAAGATGGATCGCTAAAAAGAAACATAAACAGGAAAATGACCTGGACGGGTCAATATACTAACTTTTTCAGTTTCGTTCCTCTACAACAAAAAAGGAACCTTATCAAGACACTACATCATAGAATCAAGACTATATGCACTATGGATACGATTGAAGATGAAACAAAGACATTGTTTACAACCCTGAAAGAAAATGGATATCCAGAGAAATTTATAAATAAAAACTTAGCCAATAAAAGACAGCGTAGAGAATGTCCAACGGTAAATAGAAAGCCTCTATATATACGCTTACAATTCAGAGGCGACGCGCCGAGTGAAATGTTAAGACTTAAGTTAAGTAGATCAATTCAAAGGACTTTTAACGCAGCTAAACTACAACTACTATTCTCCACACGACCAATAATCACCCCGAGGTTTAAAGATAAATTACCTAGACTAGCCACCTCCTTCTGTATCTATCAATTCAACTGCTCCTGTGGAGCAAGTTATATTGGAAGATGTTCTATGAATTTGTACATTCGGGCTCGTGAGCACCTACCCGTGTGGTTAAGCAAAGGTGTTGTCAAAACTGTTAACAGCTCCATCTTAGACCATTTAGTCCAAACAGGACATACAGCCAACATGGAGCAATCTTTTGCAATAGTTTATCGTGTCAACAGCAGTCTACCTAATTCCGTCAGACTGCGAATCCAACAGACGGCTGAAGCAATTGCTATTCGGATCAAAAAGCCAGAGCTTTGTATGCAAAAGAAGTATGTTCAGCCACTCCTTTTACCCTGGCCAACTAGCTAATAATCAATCTTATAATGTGGTGACATAATCTGATTAATGTTCATTTTATGTCCCAAACTTTATTATTATTATTATTATTATTATTATTATTATTATTATTATTATTATTACTATTATTGTCTTCACACTTGATAACCCCTTTTTGAGGAATTTATTCAATATCCACCCCTGAATCTACTATATTTGACCTAATTATTTTACATATTACGCAATTTCCGATTTGTAATCACAATATTCTCTCTCTCGCTCGCTTTCTCTATCTCTCTTACCCCATGTTGACCATATTTATTCTGATAATTTATCTCACAATTCCATTTCGCTTATAAACTGATTCAAGTTAACACTTCATAATAGTCAGCCCCAACATTAACGATTTTATTTATATAACAAACAATTCCTGATTCACATATTACAATTTCCAAATGATGTATTTTGCCTTAAATCTGGCCAATTTTATGGATTATTTTTATTTATTTATTTATTTGAACACATAAATATTGGTACAAGAGGGCACCAAATATATATGCGCCACACCAAGCAAACAAACGTGATAAGAAACAACGTTATGTCATCATTATTCGATAAAACCTATCTTCAAATCAATGGGATTAATTACCCTAATCAAGATGCATTGTTGATGTCGAGAAGACTATGATCTATCTACTCATACTGTGAAAATCGGCATACTTATAGTAGAGATGTGTTAAATGGAATAGTTCTGCAATGTGACTAATGAAACACAGAATTTTGGGAAACGTTACATTTTATTACATCTATTGTCAACAATAGAAGCGCTACGTTAAAGAAGTTATATTACGCTAAAACTTCGAAAAAAAGTCAGACACTGATATTTAAAACGAAAGATCAGAATATTACTTACCTTAAACTACGTGAACGGGTACGACAGCCGTCAAAGCTTGAGTTGTAACATGTTTGAACAGCACTCACAGAACTATGGTTAATTCGAGGTGATGCCCGAGTAACAGGCGTGTGTGGTACGCTTTTAGAATCTGCACTGTGAACTGAAGTGTACAGGAAAGGTAGAACATTAGAAAGTGAAATATCACTTCTTGTCTCTGCTGTACACGATTCCTTTGGTGAACGCGAAATAAAACATAAATTTGGTGATTCTGTATTTTGACCAGCAGACGGGGACAATGACAGAGGAGATTTCGAATTCGGTAGCTGTGAATAAACAGGTATTGAAGGTGATCTCATAGAATAAGAACGTTCTATCGGTATGGATTTAATTGGAGTTTGTATGGATGTTTGGTATTTCGAACGAGCAGAAATTCCACGATCATTTGCATACAGTGTGTTAGTTTGAGGATGAAGACTATGAGAAACATTTTCTCTTGATGAACATCGACTACGCTGCATAGTAACAACACGGAAAATATTACCATAAGTGATGAAATAACACCAGGCAAAATATAAATGCAATAAAAGGCGGAACAGAATGACCTAAATCGCTTCCTAGCCTTATATTTGAATACTATTAGACCAACCGTAAACATTATCTATGGGAACATAAAGACTAGTTTTCTCACGAATTTATCTACCTTCTAAACAGATTAAGATAGTAGAGATTTCAAGAAATAATTTCTAAACTAGCAGTGAAGATCACATGAAACAATTTCAATTAGTAAGAAAATTTATACTTACAACCAACTTCAATATGATGACTATCCATTTCAAGGACTAATATCTTTAAAAATTGATAAATATTCTGATTGAATGCTTGAGGCGGTTTCTAAGCTCTTCTAATAACCCCCAGGCTTAATCCACAAAACAACTTGAACACGAGAGAAAAGGCGAGAAATATGGAGAACGCTCCACTCCAAAGTTAGTTTATGTACAGGAAATTGAGGGTATTTATAGCATCTCAGGTGGCCTTGGGCTTCTGAAAGGTTTTGGAACCTTACTAAACACAGTAGCAGGATAGGTAATCATCCAATCAGAAATACGACTCTTTGCCTTCCAGGTGTTTATAAGAAACTTTTGATTAATACCGATTGTACAAAATGTTTCCCAGCGTTTTCAGGGCCCCTCTGGGTGCTTTTCGAGACAGAGTCTGGGTCTCCCCAACAAAAACGATGCAGTAACCAGAAAATAGAAAGGTGATTACTGAAAATTTTTATCATTAAGTACTAAGTTCCAAACACTATGTAGTGGAAAAACTACTTACAACAAACGTACTGTCATACAAAATGTTAATCTGGAGAATCTCATATAAAAATTAGCAAATCACACGTTGAGAGTTATTAAAATATAAAATGATATAGGTAGTAACCACATATTTTTGAAAGTCAATTAGCTAAGAACTCTGAGCATTCAAAGCAAAAGGTTTGTAAAATTCAAACGTGTATTTGAAGATGATAAAGTCGTTCGGTAAAATACAGTTTTACGATCATTCCTATTTTCATCCAACTAAAATATTTGAAACGATTTTGATGAGTCGCAATTTGGGCGATAGCCTGAGATCGTCGAAAAAAGAATTTTATTCATCTAACAAGTGGGGTAATTAGATAGTAGAATATCAGAATGTAGACATGCACAATCCAATGTAAGCCTAAATTCTGTCCGGAAAGTGTTTCCTATCAAGGCAGACATGAGTATGACGAAAGCGTTTAAGTCAACAATTAAAGACTTTTTATCAACAAAATTTAATTAAAGTTTAATCTGGAATATATTTCCTAAAAATCAATGACGTAAATTAAAAATTATAAGAAACTGTATGTATAAAACAAAATAACGTACAGACAAGTGACTACCACTTTCCGATGTATTTGTACCATAACCAGATGAAGGTAATGAGGCTAGTGACCAACGACGACAATCTAGAGTACTAAAAGAAAAGAATAAGAAGAATGCCAAATAAAATGTGACTACCTTTAACTACCTTTCAGTAACTACATTTATAAGAACTTCGAAAAACAGTTATATTTTTAAGAACTCAATCCAGGCATTTAGTTTTTGCAACGGAACATTTATAAAGTACTAAAATTTCCTCATAGGTACATTAAGTACAAAAAAGTTAAATGGTCCCTCCATAAATTGATGGCTCCTAGGATTTTATTTGTATAGGGTCCTTCATATCTATATACGTAACACGATAAATATTACTTTCAGGTTGGCAATCAATTAGGAGATTGGAAAATCCTAACTCTGAATCAGTGGTGTATATGGGATCTAGTCAGGAAGGGACAAACGACGCACAAACCTTTTGGATTAGACACCCAAGTCATAGGCTCCGGGAGTGATACTATTTGTAAATCATCTGCTTCAGTTTAGGTTGCCTGGTAGTACCCCAGACCGTGCGCAACTATGGTAGTTGATAATTGTGGGGAAAATGACATACTTGATCTGATTCACTACCACTTCATACGATATTAACTCTCTATTTAATTTAAACATACTTGTCTGATATTGCCTCACTTTTCTAATGTTTATCGTTTCTATGTGCTTACACGTATACTACAACTCACTCACCAGGTAATATCTGTTGGAAATTCTGTTCAGTTAGAACAGTCTGAAGTCGCTGAATGACCAAATTTAGGAATGCCTCCACCGAATACGAAATCTGAGTAAGCTTTCCTGAGGCCACACGTGCTTTTTAAACTGGCCTTCTTCAACAATAGACAGGTTTGGCTAAGTCATTGCAAAGTTCTGATATCGAAGCTTACAGTATCTCCGAGACCTGAATTCAAGACTGTAGCGAAGCCCTACTAACCCGTTCATCCGTAGATGAAGAAACTTTGTTCCACGTACGCTTATGCAGAATCTCTCTGAAAACCGCATTAGATTGACTAAAGTTAGAGTAGCACTGAGTCCTAGAGCGGAGGTGACCCTAATCGATTGTAAGGAGGAAAAACTGATATGGGAAGCAATGTCTCTTCGTAATATCTGTCTATGCATATAACTACATCTCCCCATTGTCCCGGTTCAGCAGTGAGATTAGGCAGGGCTGCCCGATCTCACCATTCTTTTTCAGCTTGCCACCTACCACATACTGGAAACAGCTCTGAAGGAAGCACGTAAGGTGGTGTAGATTTACTGCCTGGAAAAAAAATCTCGAGTATCCAGATGACATCGCCTTACTGTGTACACAAATTGTATCAAATCAGTTGAAGATCAGTGTCCGTAAGCATGGAATTTACTTCATACATAAATACAGAGCACTTCTGCAAGAATCCCAACAGTATGTGCATGCAGTCACTCTTGTGAAAATCCGTTATAACTAATCGAAAGGTTTGCATATCTGGGTAGTTTTGTGAGCACTGGGGGCAGTGTGACAGATAGGATAAATCTACGTATAATGAAAGCCAGAGTAACTTATACTAATCCGGGCCACCTTTGGATTTACCGTGATGTTGGTCTAGCTGTAAAAGACCGGAATCACAACGCGTCAGCGGGTGCAGTTTCCCTCTATGTTTGTGAAAATTGACCACACTGAGTTAAGGATGTTCGGCGACTGTGTTCGACCATCTTAATCTCCGAAGGATCACTGACACCCATTGACAACACCAAATCAGTAATCTCGACGTTCGCCAATATGCTCGGCCATATCGACTGGTATGGTAAGCCAATCAAAAGTAGTTAAATGAGGTCAATCGATGGCAATCAAAAGTGACCTGTAGGAAAAGTGCATATCACTGGCTAAGAAATGGATTTATTTTCTAAGGGGTAGAGTTGTATAAATACATAGGAGTATTTGTGCATTTTATCCGGTAGCCCAATACTCTTTCATGTCCACTAATGTGTTCTCGCTCAAGTAGTCAGATAGGGAGTTAGCGCGTAGCACGTTGTGTATCATTATCAGATTTTCGGACGATAATTGAGTAAACCACTTTAGAACACTGACATGTCTTTGGCATGTATCTTGAATATTATCTGAACGACTCCCACAGCGTCCACAAATTACGGACACCTGCTTGGTGTAAAGAAAGGTGCTGAATTATGAAAATGTCTTAACAATATGTTTTATAACTTATGCTATTATTGGACATTGACTAAACTCACTGTTTTCTTTCCAAATGCAAGCGTGGGATGAAACTCCGTTTCTCAGTAAACAAATATGCATCACACGACTCTTGAAGGGGAATAGTATCTGAAATTTGAGTGAAAATCAATTTATTATAGTAAGATATCGTGAAGGCATCTTTTACCTTCAGTTAGTTGCAGGATTTGAACAAATTAACTGTTAAGAGTAGAGAAATGCACTAGTCAAGACTGAAATGAGTTCTGGTTTAATGGTGAGATTGATAAAATCGTAGTGGTGAGTCAACCGACCATTTAACCCAAGAATATTAGTAGTGACACGATAGTAATCACTCAGTGTGCTAGCTTCAAAAAGAGATGCCTCCTTCATTGAATTATTTTATGTTGTACCTTTAGGTGTACTGCCGAAGGTAGTGATCACACATTTAGGAATATTGTAATCATTTTCTAAATTGATCAAGGATTTTATAATTTCGTATATTGTCATTATGGACTAGTTTTAATATCCAACGGGTAGACGGAATTTAGATGGACGTGACATGAGGAATATCATTTAACAACCTAGAAAATGGTAAGCATCCACAAATTAAGAGGCAAAATGACGCAAATAACAACTTTTTTGAAGTACACTCGTGAAATACTAAATATTTAACTACTTAGAGTTATCCAATAGCTCCAATCAACAGTTCTCAAATCCTGGTGTCAAAATCTGAGAAAACAAATAGAAGAATCTAACTACTAAAATCTAAATCTCTGTTTATAAATATAAATCTGAAAGGTGTTAACATATTGGAGCAAATTCATCATACTAAAAACTATTTCAGAAATAGTTAACTAAAAATTATAATAAAAAAGCTTTTTTGGATCATATTGCTCTAACTGACTAACCGAATGGACAAAAGACAAACATACAACTAATTAAAATAGTTATCAAAACATATTTATGAATTTATGACACCACAAGTACTTGGTAGAGTTCGATAGCTAGAAATAACCGAATAAAAATGATACGATTAAGTAAATAAAGGTTACTGACCGACATTTTTACTTGTGATGACTTTGTAGTTTGTCTGGGTTCTTTTTAGCTGTGTAGTTTTGTCTTGTAGTTTACTAATACTTTGATGAGTACATGGCATCTCTGTTTTTGAATTTTCACCAGAGTGATCAGAAGATCTAGTTAACTGTGGTGGCTCATACGCAACAACACTGTTCTTTGGTGATACAAGGTATGGTATATCACTATGAGCAAGATAAGCAGTAGAAAAAACTGGACTATCAGGTTCATTGGAAGGAGCAGGACTGGACATGCTTCGATCGGCCATGCAACCACTACTACCACTGAGGCTACCCAAACCGCTTACTAACATACTCCGACGCTGAGTATGAAAAGGAAGTGATGTAAGTGCTCGGGTAGTTTCATCAATGTTCTTAATTGCTCCCGAGGCGGATCCGAGTAGTGATTGATTGATAGAAACTCTAGACTGTCTAACAATTGCTTCATACTTCGGGCTATTAGGAGCCTTTGAACAGATTAGTGATTCAGGGCTTTTTAAGCTTGAAGGTGGAGTATAAGCTGACGAGACATTTTGATATGAGTTTCGACAGTGAACGAATTGATTATAATTGGGATCACGCTAAAAAGTATAAATAAAAAATTTCATATATCCTGATCCTTTGATAAATTTTGCTCACAATAATATAACTAATGTGAATGTTACGCTACTTGAAGGCGATGAGACACCTTAAAATATGATGAATTTATGCTATTCTGCACACCTTGTTCTTGTCGCTTTATTTATGAATAAGAACCCGGAAATTAAAAAAGGGGATAGCAGACAATAATTGTGGTTAATTATCATTGGTATTGAATAACGAGGTTACTTCCTACTATAATTAGAAAATAAGAAATTGGCTAATATTTATTCCATTCAGCGAATCTATATACTAGTTCGAACTAAACTTAAGAGGAGTTAAACTATTTTTTCACGGTTGGCATCATGCCCATTAACATGAGAAACATGATAAAACTGAGTTTATTTCAAATTGCTTCAACCTTCTATTCTGTTACAAGTCTACTCTGTGTATGCTTCTATTTTCCAGCTCACTCAGCAGCTTGTCTTGTCTAAACAGTCTTAGGTTTATGAACGACTGATTTTCTGTATGCTCTTAGACTTATATGAAGTATTTCAGTAGAAGCATTCAATTATTTGCTGAGTAGATTTTTTTATTGTACTGCCTTTAAGATCTTATATGGTCAAATGAAATAAAATTGTATAAAAGCACGAGAAAATTGGCAGAAAAAACGTAAGAATGACCCAAAGACGCTCCTACCAAAATAATCACCTTGACTCTATACCGAAACATACCCAAGTTATTTAAGTGTCCGGTTACCCCGGTCTACAAAGTTACTATTTATTTGGTTTACTATATGTTTGTCATACAAGACTGCATCCTTAATGATAACCAATATCTATGAAGCAATTATACCACACTGATTTCAATGAAATTAGTTTTCACATCATATCGATAAATAATGAAAAAAAAATTACCTTATAGTACAGTAAGTTCGGTGCAGACTGACCAATAAAGCTACCTTTTATTCGTAGGAGAGTACTTGGGATGGAATGTCCTGGGGATAAAAATATACATGTCAATTAGTCAGTATACTATAAAACAAAGAATAAATCTTATAAAGAAAACCTTTAAAGGCTCCTCTATGTAGAACACTGAAAGTAAATAAAAGACATTTGGACTGCACCCAGTGTTAAGTACATACATTCGTTCTTTGAAATGAGCTGTACAACCCATGTACCAGGCTTCCTGTTAAATATCATAGTACGAGGTTATCGACAAATTATGGTTAATCAGTAAATTAGTTTGAAAAACTACATTTCATGGGTGACTTTTATTTGGAACATTTAACCCACCTTAAAAAACGTGATAGAACTAGAAAGAGTAGTATATACAGTAAAACTAACCATCATAACTTGACAAGCGGCTTGAAAAGAACGGAGACAACTGTAACTCATTACTGACTTGTTGACAAATTGGAACTGAGTATGATGCACTCGAAATTACAGAACATGCGTTTATATCTGCTCGTTGTTTTTGTATATTACAAGAAACTGGTAGGGCAGAATTCGCTATCGAGTAGTCTTTGAACTGACTATCACAAACACTTTGTGACTGCAAATCTTTCCAAAACTCCGAACTCGTCAAACCAGTATAGGTTGAACATGGTCCCGAAAAACCAATGGAATTTGCATTACCATCTTCCTGTAAAGATAATGAGTGGCTATCAGTTAAAGCTGATGATATGGACAAGGAAGATGGGCGGTAGTTTGATTGGACTTGTGGTATATCACCTGAGCTAAGAGAGGATGCCCGTTTTACAGCTTTAGGTTGTTCTGCATCCATTTTAGATACACTGCATTCACTAATAGACGTCTCTTCTCCTGATGTTCCCGAACTTGCTGCATGCAACTTGGTTTTCACGCATTCTGAATGGGGTTCTGAAGATGCACACGAAAATGAACCAAGGAGCGGACGAGAACGACGATTGGCACTCGTGGACATTTGCCTAACTTGATCGGACGGACAAGTTTCGGAACACTAAAATGAAGGGAAAACGCCTGTTCGTTCAAAATAAGGAATTACAACTAACGAACTGAAAAGAGACTACTAACTTGAAAACGATACTTAAGCTAACCACATTTAGAACAATATACACTGATCACATGGCAACGGTAATATGTAACCAATCATAAACAACCAACGCCAGAATTTCGCTATCAGAGAATGTCGAAAGTAACGACGAATTTCATAATGCATTCATATGGTACACAGGATATTAATAAACTCCCAACTAATATGATAATTCAAACATGAGGAGATTAGTAGAGGAAGTCGAGGTCCTTTAGCCTGTTAAAAAAACACACAAACCAGATAAATGCACTGGATAAGCCGTAAACGCTTCCAGTATTTAGAATACAATTTGCGAGAAATACTGAAAAGGTTCAAACTCTAACTAAAAAATCGAAAAAGAGGTACAATACTCAATTGCACCCACGCCACTAACCCGAACTGACATCAGCTAACGAAGTGTAGGAAAGTTAAACATATAAATGTCCACTAAGCATTGGTTATCGCGTAGAGCGGTGTACTGTCATATTGTGTGAGACAACTAAACAGGACTACATCTGATGACAGTTGGTTTTGAAACTGACCGCAGTTTAAATAACTATTGATTAAATGGTATATAAGTTAGGCAATAAGTTACCAGCAGATAAAAATGGGTTATTCACATGGTTTTTATTTAGTTACGGGAGCTAGGATATGGTACATATACTACTGAGCCATCTATTCAAACTGATAAAGATAGGCATAGTAGGTGTAGGTTGAAAAGTATAACAATAAGACCTAAGTGATTGTCTTCTTATGTTGTACACAGTCTTCTTAAGCACGTATCCCTTTGCACTTGGTTTTTCAATTTCTAATATCCCTCAGTGATGTGATTTCCATAAACATACCAGACCAACAATTAAATACAACAATCTCCAACTGGTTGTGTTACATATAAATATTAAAGCTAATATATAATCTGCAGCCTTACTCGTCTAGGTTGACATTCCTCAGAACGTGAATGCGACTCTGTTGTATATCCACTGGAGGCATAAGAGGGTAGGTCTGAATAAACGGAATTTATTTCGGACTCCGTGAGGCACCCAGTAAACACGGAACGGAGCTCTTCTAGTGTACATTTAAGTAGGTCTTCATAGGTGCAGTTATCCGGCAGTACATCTAAGGCTCGGTCAAGCTGAATATCTTGTAGAAAATGGATGAGGCGCAAGCGATCGCTGGCAGCCCATCTATGTGAAGGGCTCTTTAAATCATGACCAATGTGGATGCTGCTTCCTCTTAGTAATGAAAGGTTATTAACTGTCCGACCGAGTGGACATGATGCCACTGATTTTGAAGGTGTGCTTGAGTGTAAAGTTCCCGGTGCTTCAGAAAACCTCTGATTAGAACCTTTAGACAAGTTATGATCATCAGGCTTTGGTGAAAACTGATCAGACATTCCATGGAACAGACAGAAAACAACTCATACACTCATAACTTCTAGAAGCTATGTGACCAAACAGCTGCTTTAGCATTTCATGTTATGCGCTTTAACTGTTTAATACTCAATACCGATCTTCCAATTTGAGATGGAGGTTTATCTTTCCAAGAACGCAGACTGCAAGTAAATGTTAATTTCCTCTATTATGTTTTTGAACAGTGAGTCTTCCACTCAATGAGTCAGAAAGTTTGCAAACACCACTTATGCCAGTAGTAAGTTGATAACTCAGTAGGTAAACATGAAGACTTTCCAGGAGATAAGTAGTTACAAAGAAGTGTACCAATCATATATTAGAATAGTTGCAAAACATGTCAACACAAAGTCTATTCACCTCTCCCCTCTGTATTTCGACATTCTCTTAATAAAGTAGCGCCAAATCTCTAACTACTTGGCTTCCTGTTTTAATAACTAATACTTTGTCCTACTGCAACCGGGTCGATACCGGTTTTCAGTAGGAGGCTTTCAGTTTGGTTCATATTACACTTTATCGGCCCCTTAGGAACTCCTCAACCCACTTAACTAATTGTCAAGAAATTTCCAGTTCTTTCATCTTCAGCTACAGTTGATCATACTCTGATATATTCTGGTCTCCTACCATATGTAACTCATTGATTTTACCAAGTGAAGTAAAATTCTCTTGACATGCTTCGCTCTTATGTTTTTAACATGAGGAACACACTCTAGATGATCAAATACATCTTTCTTATTTTGAGTTTCATATGGCCTTTGTGATGTGCAGATTAAAGGGGTAAGCTCAGTTGAGATAAACTTGTGGAACTGCTTCTGTATGGCTATTTCAAGACCAAATGTTCACAACTTGATTTCACAGAAATTACTTTGGGAAAGTTAAAGGCTCGCTTGATTAGTTGTAAGAGACACATTTATACGAAAAGGCATCAGATAGTACTTATGTTCATAGGACGATCCATAAGAACATGCTAGGTGTTCACTGTTTGCTAACTGCATCGTTATTTTTGCTTTTAACTGGGCTGCCTCAATTGACCTACTGTTATATGGAAATAGATCATTATTATCACCAAGTATATGGATTGTCTGATCATCAGGAATAGGAAGTGGGATTTCATTACAAATTGTAAAGTGAGACTGAAGATGCCACAGGTATTTTGAGTCTTGACAACACCTTAGCCAGTATTACCTTCTAATATGAGTCGTTCCCACCAAGTGAAATCAGAAGACAGGAGCGAGGAGGTTCGAAGATGTATTTGATAGGCTCCCAAACGCACCATAATCCTAATGGTCGTAAACTTAAGTCCGATTCTAAGAGGACGTCTAGCTTTACAAGTATGCCGCCACCGAAAAACTCTTCTGAATCTCCTAAAGTTTAAAGCCCATAAGAAAGTAATCCTGATGTGGGTGGTGTCCATCCTCTTAAGAATGTTGACTTAGATTCAACCCGAAGTAGTTGTGCTGATGACGAATGGGATAACACAGTCCAAACCCCTATTAGTGCAACACCCAGTCACAGTAACTGTTCAACGGATAACAGGAAAACTAATCATAACATTCATATAACTGACCACGCACTTAACGTTGATATATTCGAACCTCGCAAACCATCGCAAGTATGTTTAACAGCACACAATCTTCTCCAACTTATGGAGAAGCCAAAATCAACCACAAACCTTGAAAATAAACGTCTTAAACACGTTACCCATACGTCAGGTATAAATAGTTATCTGAATTGTAATTGGCCACTTGGTTGCACACATAGACCTGATAGCCTTCTTGGTCCGGCCCCCAATATGTACACTATGCCTTTATCAGATGTTATATCCAATAGCAATGAGAAAACTTTTTTTGTAATTCCGCCGGCTTTACTGCCGGCAACGGTAAACATATTTCACATGATGACAAAGTGGTTGAATCTATTTCCCCTCGCAACACAACTCTTACTCTGGCTAATCCTATGAGTATTCATGGAACTACCAATTGCGATTTATACTCTAACCTGCTTCACTATGATAACTCTGAGTTTCTTATTCTTTCGTTCAATGCCCGCTCTCTGTCCAATAAAATTATTCATCTTAAAACTCTTTTATTCCTTGTAAATCCAACCATTGTACTTATTACGGAAACGTAGTGTAATTCATCTATATCCGATCATTCCTTGAATGTAGATAACTACGTTTTCTTTAGAACCGATAGATGTTATGGAATAAGAGGCAGTACAATTATCTATGTCCGCTCAGACATTCAAGCATGCAAATTTGAGGATAAATACCTTGATGCTATAGACGACTCCACTTGGGTTACTGTAAACTGTGGATCCCAAAATTATTTACTGGTGGGATTCATATATAGACCACCTCATGCGGATACTAAGTTTGACAGATTACTAACAAACATCTTTTCCATTGCTTCGCACCAACCGCATACTTTTAAAATCATCGGAGGTGATTTTAATCTGCCAAAAATTACATGGGCCTTGACTCCGGTACCAGGTCGATATAACAAGCTAGTTGAAACATTAGAAATTTGTGGATGGGTTCAACAGGTCCGAAAACCGACCAAGGGGAATAATACATTTGATTTAATGTTCGCAATCAACATAGACTCTATCTCAGTACATACCAGTCACGAGTTTTTTATGAGTGACCATAGAGTTGTATTGAGTATTATTCACTCTTCAAACGCCATACAATTGAACTCTAAAGCTACAATGATGTGCCAGAGCAGACATTTTGATCAACAAACATGGAAACGGACTGGGACTCTCATTCAATGTTTACCATGGGAAACTTATTTTACCACAAATAATGTTGACATTGCGCGTTCCAGTCTATACCACAACCTGATATATTGCCTTGACTGCACTGCTCCAGTTATTGTCCGTGGGGCTTATAATGCTAATAGGGGCCAAAATACTTTTAAAAGAAAGCTGAGGAAATTAAAATGCCGCTACTAAGAGCAGAATGATGTGTATGCACTTCAGAGTATACTTAAATTAATCGACAGAAATGCTTCATCTAAACCCAATTATTTTATGAATACAGAAAATAAAGCCCCACGTAGTAAAAGCCCAGAATTATCAATGCTTCGGCTTTTTAAATCCCGTATGTAGTCGAATTCCCTTGGCAAGACTACATTCTTCATAGTTACCGGAAGTATTGTTGACGACCTTAATATTATTTGCGAACAATTCAACAAGCACTTCTCACAATGCTACAAAACTGGGACTGAAAGCTCTATCATTACATTTCCAATGTTGATATCCAGACACCTATCGAACATTGATTTTATACTCTCCAACATCAAGCAGGCCATAGCTGCCCTGAAAACGTCTTATGACGGTGGACCTGACGGGATCCTTTCATCATTTGTGAAATATGGGAGTAGAAAATTCCCACTATTTTGTTCGAAACTTCTCAACCTATCTATGGAATATGAGACCTATCCATCTGTATGGAAAACATCTCTTATCACCCCTAGATTCAAAACAGGACCACGTAGTGATATTGTTAACCATAGGCCAGCTAATTTAACACCCGTGCTCTCAAGAACCATAGAAAAAATCATTTTTACTTTCAGCTAATCTGATTAGCCTGTAGTGACTTACTTTTATCACGAGAACACGACTGGTTTGATGAACACAATTATTATTATAGCCACTTGTACCAGTGACTGTCTTAATGTGTTCTTTGTTTGACTGAGCTAAAAACATCCATTATACTTACTTCGATTGTGTTAGGTTTGAAGCTTCACGAGTTCACTTAATCTGCGAACGAGAATAAGACTCAGTGACCAAAGACCAGTAATCTAGCTATTGATGCGTCCCAGCCCCGCTATCTAGAAGGAGAAGTCCAAGCTTGGTATGGAAAATATATTCTGCAAACGGCCAGAAAACGAGCGAGCCCACAAACACAACTTAAAACGTATATATACAAATGTATATAATCGATATTGTCAATGGGAAATTTTTAAACATTAATCAATGAGTTCATCAATTGACTGCTATTAATCATTTAATCGATAAGTTAATCGATCTGATAAAATTACAAAATATGAGTTTTCGAGATCTATCGTCCTCAACACTCCTCCCCTTTTTAATAGCGTACTTTTCTGGGGTCGACTTGCATCTTGACTTTAGTTCGCCGCTGACGGAGAGGCCATCTTCTGGGACGGGGATCAGCTTGTTGTTGAGCTCCTTGTGGTGGGACTGCAGGTAAGTTGGAGGTATCAAGCAAGATGTCGAGGGGAAGATTTACTCCATTGTGTGGGTGGTCTGAACTCCGCCTGTAGCTCTTCTAGAGTTACTGCCGGTCCCAAGCCCGGGTAAAGGAGGAGGGTTGGGCATGGGGTTAGCGTCCCCATCCCGTAGAAAACTAACTCGCTAAAAAAACGCTTACCAGAAAAAATAATTCAAACCATTTTAACTCTGCCCTGAGAGTTAGAAGGTCTTCATTTAGAAGAATTATGACGCTTCATGGTGAAAGCCGAGTTCCTTCGGAAGCCACGAGGCCGATGCCCCTTCTAACAACCAGAGCAAAAATTTTTATAGGTACATGGAACGTCCGAACAATGTGGGAAACCGGGAAGACCAGTCAAATAGCAATGGAAATGAGGAGATACAACTTAGCAGTACTGGGGATCAGCGAAACTCACTGGACCCAAGCTGGACAGAAAAGACTAGCTACGGGAGAGATGCTGCTATACTCCGGTCACGAAGAGGAAAATGCTCCACACACTCAGGGAGTTGCTCTAATGCTGTCCAAAGTAGCACGAAATGCACTTGTAGGATGGGAATCCCACGGATCCAGAATCATCAAAGCATCATTCAAAACAAAGAAGGAGGGGATCTTAATGAATATTATCCAATGTTATGCACCCACCAATGATAGCAACGACGACATTAAAGATCAGTTCTACGAGCGGCTGCAGTCAGTCATTGAGAAATGCCCAAGAAAGGACCTCACCATTCTAATGGGAGATCTAAATGCCAAAGTCGGAATAGACAACATCGGATATGAAGATATTATGGGGCAACATGGACTGGGAGAGAGGAACGAAAATGGAGAAAGATTTGCAAATTT